GTGAAGTAATTAAGAAATTTGACAGCAACGAGACACTGAAGAAGCATTTTTTTTGTTGTTGTTAAATAATGTCTTCAAAATAAGAATTTAATTAGTGGTATCTCAGCTTCTTTGGTCTTCAGGCCGACTGCAGGTTATCCGAAAAAAGTCAGTGCTGCTGCTGCTGCTGCTGTTTTTTTGTTGCTGTTGTAAATGAGAAATTTTATTTGGTAGGATAAAAAAAATTTAATGAGAACTCAATGACAAATTTTTTGTTAAATGAGACGTAAAATATTGAAAGAGAATGAACAAAAAGAAAGATGACTAAATGAAAAAAAAAAAAAAAACAAAACAAAACAAAAAAATGTAACAAAATAAAAACTAAAAAAAATAGAATCTGTTTATTGACATCCTAAAAAATATCATAAAATTTGTTTTTTAGAAATATCAAAAAAAAAAAAAAAAACGATGGAAAAAATTTGAAGCTTTGTACTTAAATTTTAGTAATGAAAACAAAAAAAGAAAAACGATAAAACCAAAAATATACTTTTAGCTTTTAACAGTGTTTTTTTTCCCTCTGCAGAAAACAGATTGCTGTTTCTTTTGGTAACAAAAAAAAAAAAGCCTTATTGACAGAGCAGAGCGTTACTAAAAAAAAAAACAACAAAAAACAGTGGAACTCTGTACTGGTTATAAAAAATAAATAAATAAAATAAGAAAAAAGTAAATTAATTAATTAATTAATGCTCAACAAAAAAATGTTAGCCGATCGTCTGTTCCCATTTATTCAACTTAATGGTTTTGTGCAAAAAATATATATGTATATATTCCGCTACAACTCAAAACTTTAAAATATTTTTTACATTTTTTTCTGTTTTGTTTTGAAAACAAAAACGACAACCAATTAGAAAATAAATAAATAAAAGGATATTTGACAGATAAACTTTAGCTGGAAAAAAGAAACAAAACAAAAAAATTTTTTGTTTAAAAATTTTTCAAACTTATAAAAATTTTATAATTTTTGCATTTTTTTTTTTTTTTTTTTTTTTTTTTTTTTT